TCGACACCTACTAAAATGACTAACTATGACTCTAGGTGGAAAACAATCACTTCTTGATATACTCCGCAAATGTCCAAACGATGGTATATGAGAAACTAGGTTACTGCTGGACCTTCCTGACTTTTTTATTTTAGCCAAGCCATATAATTGGATTCACACGAATTTCAAGATTTACGCCATGAGGTAATAACACAAATTTCTGTAATCATTATTCATGTCAATGTCTTTATAATCCAATTTCGCCGCTCCTTCACTGACAGCGACCAAGATCAACATCGGTAAGCTAATAAGGCAATGACAACCAGGATCAACGGAATAACAATGTAATTCTGTTTAGAAGGGACATCCCGAGTATAATTCTGATCGGGAGGATTGGATGCCACTGTTCTTATTAATTTTTGAAGAAAGCGAAATGACAATTAAGATAATGTTTATTTAGAGAAAAGGACGGAAGAGCCGAGCGACACGTAATGGATGAGGTCTGAACATAGAAAGAAATTAACATCCTTCGTGCTACTTCGATGATCAGAACTTGAATATCTGGTAAAGTAATTCTGTACATACGTAAATTCGCCATCACTCTGAAACGAGGACATCAGTCTATCACGCAAGCAAGCAGTCACCGTGAAAAACAGCTACATCTTACAACCATCACTTTAGGGTTAGAACCTCTAAGTTAAACACTGGAGTGCTAAGAGAACAAAATCCACCATCAGCTGTTAGAAATAATTGCTAGGAAGGAGAAAAATATAGGTAAGACGTGTTGGAACGATAATGACAGATACGAAATTGAATACATGATCAAAAAGTAGTACATATGGAAGCAAAGAGCGACCAAAACAAGGAAAAAGTTGTCGTTGCGGTGTATATTCACATCAGTAAGTGAAACATTTGTTCGATTACGCCTGCTACGAAATCAAGTCTTCGACGAAGTTTTAACTCCACTCAAATCATGCTTATTGCTCCCTGTACAAACTCCTTTGACATATGCATAAATGTTACCCAAACGCTCCCGAAATATGTGTATCATAAATAAACACCAAAACGGTCACATCTCGTAGCGCTTAATAAAGGACAATCAACTTCTGAGTTAAAGAGGAGGATCGCATGATACAGGGAGCTAGACTCGCTTGTACCAGCTAATTAAATTTGATGAGTTTAGAGCCAGTTTCTAAAACAACTATCGGAAGCATCCGCTTTTACCGCTGTAGTATTTGACGAGATCTTGTAAAGTCGCAAAAGTGCGTCTTGTCGTAATAAAAAAGCCCCCGTTTTCCAAACGCTTGATTTTGTAATGTTTCACGTTTTCACCCTTTTCTTCGTCCTTATCTCGTATGGTAAGCGCATATTCGGCTGAAAAAAGAGAGACATTACACAAAACGATACCGGTGTAACAACACAATAACGCAAATATTTTATCCCTGCTTGAAACTGTCCGTTTCTTCTACATTTCACATAAAGAAACAAAATAAGGAACCGTTGTAAAATCTAACCTACATATTAGCGCACAGAAACTACACTAAACTGATAAAAGTTTTAACATTTTAGTGAAACTTTTCAGTCCTGAATTAAAAACTTCGAATTAATTGAATACTTGAGCAACTTGAAACAAAGTCAATTGCAGCGGGAACAGTGATGACTGTGGCGGTAGAACGACGAAGAAAATACATGCAGATTGCACCTTGAGGGCATCAGTCGCAGTGACGAGCGGTTCGAACATAGAACAGCACAACTATCAGTTGCTTAAAACTTCTTAGATCGGCATTGCTGAAACACGGCAAGACTCACAAACGAACCGATGCAGGGCCAGTTACCTTTGGGAAGAGCGTGAAGAGACTTAGCATCCTGAAAGTGGTCCTGATTTATAATCAGAAAGCAGTCCCTATCTCTGAAAGTCAATAAGCTCAACTAGATCAATTACAGCAACATCGTAAGGGGAATATCTGAGTGATATTCGAATATATAATTCCAATCAGGAATGAAAGAGTACCCCAATGAAACAGAACATTGTTTAAAGTATTTCTTCTACTGAAAGACAACCTGCAGAAGCAAACGCATTGAAGTAAGAACAAATCATAGTATCATTAAGTAAATCCAGGCTTGCTCATGGAACATGATTTTCGGCGCAGAGTCAACAATACTTAACAAAAATCGAAAGGAAAGTTTGCAACCGTTGGTGTATGGTCTCCATTACAATTTCATAATGGATGCTACTTGCTGCAACTATCTTTAACGGAAATTTCCTTTACTTTTAACGCGTGTTCCTTACAGAAGCGCTAATTCTCAAAGTTAAGGACGCTTGTTTTTCCACTGGCAGAAATGAAAAAGAAACAAATTACTGTGCAAATGCTGCGATATCGGTGTTCCATATTAAGAAGCATTCAATTTTTATTGTATATTTTTTCTACAGGACTTGCGGTGAACATAAATGTCCGTTCAATGTTTTCGTCAGGAACACCTTTATTTGTAAGTTTATGCCTACATCTACACAGCCACCACAGCGTGAGGTGGATTCTCCTTCCTTCCTTCCCACGTAGGGGCACTCGTTTACCTACTTCAAAAAAAACGATATGCGAGTGACCAAGAAACGGAATTCAAACGATCTAGCCATCTTTCCACTGGGAGCCTGACATTCCGACCGGGCTAAACTGCCTAAGAATAACAAGTCACTTTCATCTGTCTAACATCAAGACTCCAGACAATCTGCGCTATGGAAACCATAAAGATACTCTAAAATTGAATAGTCCAAATCGCAGAAAAGAATACTGACGAGACCCAAATGGCCCTTCTCTTTTCATGCATGCCAAGCCAGGCATAGAGGAAAACGACATAAATTATATATCGGTTCCTCAAAATCCTAGCAGGACTGCAATATTACGAGCAGGGAGACCTGTAACCTACATGCTCAGTTCGTGCCAGTTATTTTAAGCCTAAACAGCCTAACTTGTAAAATTCAAGGACCGTTTTTCAAAACAAGTCATACTCAGGATACTGAGTTGCAAAATGAAAAAGTGAAAGTATTCCAAGTGCTTCTACGCTATTAAGGACATAGTAGTTACTAGTATAATAAAACGCCATTCAACAATACGATGCCAAATGAAAAAAGCACAGAAATTCTGAACAATAATAAGAAAAACGCATAAAAACTATGTACAGCATTCCGTTTCTCTTTCCCTGATCAGAAATGTTCCGCGCAGCAAACCAGGATTCATGACCAATTTCTCTGCGACGTTACGAGGTATTCTTCCGGCAAACCATCTAAAACACATACAGAAAATGATATAATTTTGGTGTCACCGACTCTTCCGTTAAATCGAACACAAGAGCTATCAAACAAATGAATACAGTCTCAAACTGAACAGCAATTTAGATATATATCCAGTTGAATGCATAAAAAATAACTCTTCATTGACCTCGTGGTGAGGTAATGTCACCCTGCTGATACCTCTTGCAGAATGCTGAAACGACGACTATGCATTAATCATTCTAATGGGCAATTTCACTGCGCATTAGAGGGCAGGAAAAAGGAAAGGTGTGATTAGAAAGAACGACCCCGCGATTTCAGCAACGGATTATCTGTTACGAATACCTTCCAGCATGGAATCATGCATCAGTATGCCTGGTACAAGGAAGTTTTTGCACTGAAGTCGATGATCGATTTGATATTCGTATCGTCTGAAGTACGACGCCAGCTAATGGATGTTCGCATTAAGACGCTCCGATGCAAACGATGGATTACAACGCAAAGACCCGGTGGCAAAAGAACAAAAGAATCAAATGAACATCATAATTTTCTGCGGATGCGAGGGCAAAACCTGCAACAACACTGCACGACAGTTTGAACAGGTCTCACTGATGACCAGTGACGTGGTAACAGAACGGAATCGACTTACCTAAGAATGACTCACTCGGGGCTGCTGCGGAATGCTGTGGTTTTAAAAAGGGTTGGCCTGACGCCTAAGTCAAAAATGAACTTCCCGCTTAACACCGAAGGTACAGTGAAAAGGCTGCATTCAAGAGGTGGTTCAGAGACAAAGAACCTCTAACTCGAATGCGATAAGAAGGCAAGCGCAAGGCGATAGTGGAATCAGTGGCCAAGAGTGAAATCGATTCCTAGACAAAGTTGGCAGAGGAGCTAGAGTTGAATTTTCAAACGGCAAAGAAATTATTCTGGCACACCATCTGCCGCTTCAGAGATGGACATAACGGCAGTCTCATAGTCCTGAAGTACAAGTCTGGAAGCCATCCTACCAAGGACGTAGACATACTTCGGCGATGGAGACAGCACACTAAGGAACTTCCAAATCCTGAGCGACCGCAGAAAGACTCTCCTGCAGAGCAAAGGCAACGGGTGATATAGCAGTTACAGAAGATATGAAAGGTTTGAAAAGCGGCAAGGTCTCCTGTCTAGACATCGGCCCTGAAATGTTTAAAGCTTTCACGAACAAGACATATTGTGGTTAGCACGTGTGTACGGAACTGCAGTGGCTACGGTAAAGACAGTAGTGGACTCGAAAACGATGGCTGCAGTACCTGTTCTGGACGGAAAACCATACGGAGTGCCCCAATTATCAGAGCAAAGCCATATTCAGCGTTCACTGTAAAGTCTACGCAAACGCGTCACAAAGGAAGTGCCGCGGAATAAATGGCTCTAGGATGGAGGAACAGCAGTGTGGTTTCAGCTGACCAGATCTTCGTTATACACCAGACTAAAGAAATAACGGCAGTTCGCCCATCCGGTTAACA